ACCATTTAGAGAAATTATGATGTGAACTCGAGGTCGAATACATATCGATGTAAGAAAACCAAAGGTTTAAAGACTAGATACGGACAATGAAACTTCATTTGTGATACGATCACTACTTGTGCTTAGTTGAAGCATAAGTATGAAAATATTGAAAAGTTCAAAAGGTTCGGTATGAAGTTCAGTATCAACTTGACAATATAATTATGATTACATTACAATATGATTGTAATTGTGAAAATTTGAGTCAAGACATTTACTTGGCAATATATTTAAAGTATTGCGATATGATCGTAATCATGAGAATTTAAGCCAAGACTTTGATAAACATCCAAGATTTGTGAAATCGTTTTACAACAAACTCCGAAAGAAAACCTTATGAAGTGTTTATGAAGGGAGCTATCAATCTATATAAGATATATTCTGATAATGAATGAAAATTACCTATCTTCCAACCATTGTTCAAGGGATATACTTTTAAGATAAGCTACAAAACTAAACAAACTATATATGTCAAATCAAATGTAGTAAATACTCCATATATGATATGGATAAGAAGAGTTCTTATAAAGTCTTTCTACAAAGCAAGGAATAAAAACTGTATTAAATCGTTTAATGCACGATCAATTGGTATACAGAGCACGGGGTACTACTACACAAATCATACTTAGCAAAAAATGTTTGTTGCTCAAGCAGGTGCCCTTATGGAAATTGTTCCAAAAGGTCAAGAAGGAGTAGTATAAATCTCGAAAGAGTTTGAGAAAAGAAACAAATAAACGTGGTTCAAACCATGATTGGTTCACCCTATGCTAAATATGCCTCCTCAAAAGGCAAGTGGGAGTATAAGAATCTCGAAAAGTTTGAGAGCCTGAAAGAGTTCAAGAAAAGCTAATTCGAAAATCTTGAAGAAATTCTAGAAGTATTTGAATAAAATCAACAATATGAGCATGATTCACCTCATGTTACAAATGACAACGCATGGTCTCATTAAGTGTAATGGGAATAATAACCATGTGTCGAAGGTAGTACATTCCAAGTGCACATCCTCAAATTGTCATTTCTCATTGAAAGCTAAACAAAGTTGTTGTATTAGTTTCAATTATTTCATAAAAACCCACAACGATGACTAGCATATGTAAAACTTAGTCAAAGAAATATGATTTCATATTGATTAAGAGTTCTAAAATATTCATGTTGGAACATGATGATTATGCAAGTAACAAAGATGATTTGACAAGTTATAACTCCAAGTGGTTCAAAACCAGGAAATCTGAAATAGATTCTAAGTCTGTAAGCAAGTGTATGACACTTAAATTATTTGCCTAATTGGGTGAGACCCATTATAAGCAAAACAGACAAGATAGGAAAATGTATTCTAACTAAAGCAAAGACTTGTTAAAGGATTCAACTAATTCATAGTATGACTATGACTACGATGAAACCTTTACAATAGTCATTTTGCAAAGATCTATTAAAGATACTTTAGTGATTTCTACCTTATAAGATTTGGTAGATGGATTTCAAAACACTTTCTTGAAATTGTTCATGAAAGAATATTTATATGCAATATAATCAGAATGGTTTTGAAAAACAATTATACTAGGGATGCGTAAAAGACCCTTAATGGATTGAAGTTAGCATCAAGGAGTTAATGTTCTTAATTTTGTGAGTTAATCGAAATTGTTTGATGTTCTCATAAAATGAAGATGTTATGTATACAAGATGTTTAGTGGGAGCTATGAAGTCTTCTTGGTCTAGTACAAAGAGCAATTATTCATTGCTTGAAGAGTCAAATGAGGGTAATGCATTTTGTATGAAAAACCTTGAAGAAGAAAATGAGTACATTTGGGATTCAAGATCTATAGAGATAGGTCTGGAAAGATGTTTTAGCTTAGTCAAGAAGCTTATATTGATAAGATTCTTATGAGGTTCAACATAAAATTGAAAGGAGTTTCAATCCCATGTAACATGGCACATTGCTTAATGTTTCAATACTTTGAGAAAGGTTGATGAAATTAAGGTTTTGAGTGATGCTACTTATGCATTTTGCAAAGGATATGATGCATCATGCATGTCATGGACTATACTCGTATATTTGATTCACATGTTTTAAGAACAAGTGATGATAGATTTCAATCGTAATCTAATGTAACGTTGGAAAACAAACTAGAAATTCCTAAGTTCCTTGCGAAAGGGGCAAAGGAAAATTATTAGTGTATGGAGGTGAATATTATTATAAAATTTAGAAATTGCAAAATTCATGTTTATGAGAATGTCTGATTGTAGGCGTCGTTCGAAGTGCGCCTACGTTAAAGCATGTGATGAATATGCTTGGCACTCATAGGAAGTGGGAATTGACATATATGATTAGGGACAAGAAAAGTAGGGAGCCGCCAACAAGTTTTTAAGGAACTTTTTAACCGTTCACGGATCATAAAAGACAACCACGAATAAAGGGACAACGAAGGCAACAACGATTGACCCGTGAAGGTTACACCCCATTCATAATCCATGATATTACTAACTCCATATGGTTCGGAACCACGAAAGGAGGATCGGGGATGATGGTACGAAGTGAGTCATGGAGTCACATTCGCCCGTATTGGCCTCTACTCGATTCTTATAGTGAAAAGTATTCCTGCGATCTCAAAGGCATACAAACAAAATATTCAATTTGATCCAAACTATTATTTAGCTAAATTGGTTGAATATTAATGCAACATATAATTCTAAAATATTTGTGATCACTTGAATTGATAACAAGATTAAAAAGGAACCTAAACCGGTTGTCCAAATTATCTTATTAGGCGTGATTTTTTCAATTACATATTCCCTTTAAACATGCAATATAGTGATCATAATAACAATAGAACAAACATCAATATTTGAAGCAAGTTAACAATGATTCTAACAATACAAAATCGTTAGAAAAATAATAAAAATAAAAGGAACATAATTCTTACTTTGATTCTGTTTGTTTGCAACTACAAAATAATAAACGAATTAGTAACTTCAAGGAAATAATAATAAAACAATAATTAAATTAAATTAAATTAAATAGAATTGATTTGAGGCCAAACCCTCAAACAGTTCTACCTTTCACGCCTTGGCTTATGGACAGAACCACGATTAAAGTATGGACTCCTTGGAGTACTTGAAGAAGGAATTATGAAAGAAGAAGGGGAGGCTAGTGTTTAGGCTAGAACACAGAAGAGAGAAAAATAGAGAATTCATTGATGCCTCGTACGTCATAAATGAGGGGGTATTTATAGAAAAAATGTGTTGAGGGAACACACGGAACCCTAAAATGATAAAAACCCTAAAAAAGTATACCGTGACACGGCAAAGTGTACCGTGACACGGGAAATCCCACCGTTAGACGGGAAACATTCATGTGACACAGTGTACTTTTGTGTGACGCGGGAAATATATGCTGAACGGGAAAGAAAACGCGTTAAGGGTTTACGCGGAAAGGACACGGAAACCCCTGTGTCACGGCAGGTGTCCCGTGTCACGGGGAACCCCATCGTCAGACGGGAAAGTTTCCCGTGACACGGTGGACTGTTGCCGTGACGCGGGAGTTTTCAGTGCACTTTTTCGTCTAAATTCATTTTTAATCCTAATTTCGTTTAGCATTTTAAATGTCGATTGATAATTTCGGGCCTTTTTCTGATTTATTATTATTTGGGCTAAAATAAATAAAATAAATAAAAATTTCGGGCCAAAATAAATAATAAAACAGTAAAATAAAAAAAGGTTTGGGCTGAAATTAAAACTATGCTTTGACCAAACATCAAGACTAATCCATGGACTATTCAAAAATACGAATTTAATTAAATACGATTTTTAAAGCACTCTCGGGATTAAATACTGAACCCGACCAATAGTGGCGGTGAAAGGTTGTTCATCATCGGGTTTGGTTTTGGGGAGACATTTTTAGGTGTCTACACTCATGAACACTACTTACTAAACCCCTTCCATGACCAAGGTATGAGAGTCAAACTAAGATTCTTGGATTGAAGCAAGTTATGTAATTTAAGTTGTGTATGTTTTGAGAAAACATGTCACATAAGTAATACATTAACTTGTAGAATTATGTTTATCAATTGAAAAAAAGTTTCAATTTTATTTAATTATAGTTTTTAATATTAAATAAAATGTCCAAATTAATTATGGATTGATGGGCTCATCAGGTTAATAACCTGGTGAATGGAACTCCACAGGTGAACTAAATTCATATATTATTTAAGTTCCTAGTTTGGAATCATTAAATTGGACATAAATGATTTCAATTAATGGACTAGCATGTAAGATTGATTGGATAGCGCAGTTTCATGGGCTATAGAAGCGTAGTGAAGCTCGGTCAATCACATGGGTATGCATGAATGATGCATGATCGAACTATAGACCTACTTTGAAGCTCAAGTGTAGGGCTTCCGGATATATTAGTGGATTCCTTTGACATAAATGGAACATTGATTCCATTCAATGATTGATGTAACTGTGTAAATTCATACGTCACTACTAGAAATTCCGTGGTTTATTTTCGACACAATAAAGCGTCGAAATTTTTTTTCTCGACGCTCTAAAAAGCGTCGAAAAAATGTGAGTCGAGAAATTTGTTGGACGCCTAAAAGCGTCGCAATTCTCGACACTTTTTATTATTGTCCAAATTTTTATACGAAGCGTCGAAACATGTATAGTTCGCACACTTTCTCATGTTTGGCGATGCTTTTTCTTGTCTATTATCACAAAATTGAGACGCTTTTTTGTGTCCTTAGATTTATGTATTAGATGTCCTCTATTTTATCCACACTTTTTTCTGTCCATATTTTTAAATTTAGTGACGCTTTTTCTAGTCCATACTCTTTATAAAATGTATCCAATGTGGAGAATATTTTTCTAGCAAAAATAAAACTTAATTCAGTCATTGGAGATTAATTAATATAGTTAGGAAAGACACTCCATATCAGAGTTTTTAAAAAATTTAAAGAAAGTTTTACTCAAATTCAATTTATTCATAATTAATGAAGAGTACAACTTGGTATATGTACAATACAGTGCCAAAAACCAAGATATTCTGACATTTTTTTACCAAGATATTCTGACATTTTTTTTGTCTAAGATAGAATAATAAAAGAAAGTACAAATACATTCTATGTATAACTAATCTTATACCAGAAACATCAGTGTGACAAGCCTCCACCACTGGCCAACCATGACTGATAAGATGATTAACCTTTGAAGTTTGCACCCTACATCAGGGGTAATGAATAGGAGACGAAAGGCCTGTCAAAGTAAGGCATGGGCTGAGCATTCGGAATGAGTTCCTTTCTTAATATTCTTATTTCTTCCTCCTCTTCTAACTGTTAGAGCAAAAGAGAAGTTTCTGACTTAATTTACTGCAATCATAATAATACTAATTATGTTCAGTTTATCAGTTCTTTTGTAGTGTACCTTCTGTTGCCTCTCTCTATCCAGTTTGTATTGCTCTATCAACGTCAATTTTTCAGAAATCTGGTAATTGAATCACAATTACATTAGCAACATATGTGATGCATACTATGATTACCAAAAGTACTTAAAAGAAATGAATTCAATAATCACTAAACATACCTGGTTTGACCACGAATAGGTGAGCTTGTCGTTGTCTAAGCAAAATCCTAGAGCTGTATAGGATTAATAATCACACATATGTGCAGATTCAATTACCAGATTTCAATTACCTGCAAATTCAATTACCAGATTTCAATTACCTGGTGGTCAATTATCACACATATGTGCAGCTTTAGGTTGATTGGCCTAGTAATGTCTTTAATTGGTGGCTTTATCAGACACTACATATGAACGTACACGTCGAGTTAGCCTTCGCTGAATTATGACGATGATGATGAAAACAATGAGATCAAAACCAAAAATGTCAATGATGTTTTTTAATTCTAGCCCTTCCTTTTTCCATGTTCTCCGGATTCCTCATATTTGCACCATCTACTATACCTTAAAACAAGTCCCTGGTAGTAAATCATTAGTGAATACCAAATGTCCACAATTTAAGATGATAAATGATCTCAAGCTAACATGAACTTGACTGACAAGGATTAAGACATATGTGTCTCCAACTCTCCATTAATTTACTTAAAGCATGAGTGCATGACATACAAGTCATGTTCCACAAAATGAGTAAACTTATGTACTACAATCACTTATGTGATCAAGTGCTAGGCTGTCAATTATTATTTTTTTAAAAAAAAGGTCCCAAATGAAATGTCAAGTGTCTATACAAGTTCAATTATTGAGAATAAAACTAAAACTGTGCATATATATGCATGGAATTATAGAAATACAAGATCTTTCATTAAAATAATGCCTAAAATAAGGTGATATTTCATTTAAACATAGATCTTTCATTAAGTCATGATAACTGGCTAAAGACGAGAAGCCATTGAGAATTGCATTACTATCTCTAGTCAGTTATCTTTTATGTGTTTGAGAACTCTTTAATTATTTCTAAAATACAAAGAGACAATGTTATGGAGTCCTCACAGAAAAAGTTATAAATTTATAGAAAGTCACCAAAGAAAATGTCCCAACCTTAAAGATTTTAAAACTAACAAATTCACTAGATACTGTAATTCCTTTGGCTATTGCAAGTACGACCTCATACTCTCATAGACGTATATAGATATCACCACTCAAAGCTACCATCTCAGATCCATACCCAATAGAGGAGATGTTGCTTAAAAGCCATCATCTAGGCAACCAAATTGGCCAACAATTGTCATCCAAGCAAAATCCTAGAGGCTTACAGGTAATTTATAAATTCACCAAAATGTTTAATTTCTTTTATTGAGTCAAGTCTAGTAACACAATATGGACACAATCACAACCACGAACAGACAAACAAGAGATAGGACACAATCAGTACACATCCATGAAGATAGCTAAGGCAGCTCAGTCAACAAGGAAAGGCAGTAGCACGTTTGCAAACACCTCAATGCATGCAGACACAACACCAAACAATAACAACAGAAACATAAAAAAAAGAACAAAAACAAAACAACAATTAATAACAAAAGCAACAACACATACATTCCTGCAGCTCCAACCTATTCGTTTCTCAGCCACCTGCCATGAGGCTGCCAACACGGTTGCTATGCCAGGAAGACAAGAGCAACAGAGATATCAAGTAGGCACCAAATTAGCACAAAAGCATCAAGTGGAGAATAAACTCCTTCAAATCCTCTTACTCACAGTCCCTTATACATCCTGAAAAAATAATGGAAGAAAGCAAACCAAAAGAACTTTAATATTATATTTGATGCATAGATCTAGAGAAGGAATTAATTATTCAATTGAAAAATCATATCAGAGTTGATAAAATTACAAGTAACATTTGCTTGGTAAAAGCTACAGCCAAAGATGAATTGAATTTTATTAAAATAAAGTAACTAAAAAATAAACAAAAATATATCAAACAACCGATTAAATACAGTAAAAAGGAACCCTTCTCAAAATCTCAACTTTTCTTTGGAAAATTACTTCAAAATTTCCAATTTAATCGATTGTGTATAAACTTCTTTTAAATTCGCACATGAAATCTGACAATACTATTTCTTATAAACGAATATTTACCCAGATTCATCGCAAAATGAAGTATAACAATATATAATAAATCCCTATAATCTCTGTTATTCATAAATCAAACAATATCTAATAATAATTTTGTAATATTGTTGAAATTAGGTTGCTAAAACGATTTAATAGACTTCAATCAAAAGCGAAATTCGTATTTGATCGAAAATGAAAGATGTACCTTTGAAACAACAGCGGTATAGAGAGTGACAAAATTAAGTAGAGAAATTTTATCAAGCATTAGGGGGATTGCAGGGAGAATTAAGATCTGGATTAAGATTCCATAAATATCACGAAGAGGGCGGAAAAGTTAGGGTTGAGAACTGAGTAGTCTGAATTTTTTTTTGTTGGTTTATTTTCCGCTTAAAATTGAAACGTGGGCTTAGTTGTGAGGTATTAACAATTCACGTGCTTGACATGTGCTGGTCTTCTCAACGCTTTCCAGCGACGAAAATTGCTTTCGTCACCTAAAAGCGTCGAAAATATACGGATACTAATTCTTCTACTAACTCCCCTTACCTAGCGTTGAGGCCCCAGCGTCGAAAAAACACTCATTTTGTAGTAGTGCGTCTTCTCGTAACTGGATATTATAAAGGGTGTTTCCTGGTTAACTCATGATTTGAGTGGAAGCTTTGGTTGCCACAAGATTGGATTAAGTCTACCTATTTAATTAGGAATGTGTCTTGGCCCCTTGAGGAGAGAGAACTCAGAAAATGCGTGGTCGTGCTCAAATGGATTACATAGTAATCATTTGTTTTGTAATTCAAACTCAGTTTTTCAAGAAAAGATTTGTAGAGTAATATGATCATGACATGAGATGCAATCATATTATCAAATCGACACACATTGACTATAGGAATTTGAATGTTGTGCACTTGTCTCAGACAAGTGGGAGATTGAAGGAGTTCTGTCTTCGATAGTGAAATTACTAGATATATCAAGGATCACTATTTTGGAGATAATAAGTTCGTTCTTTTGGGTCGTCATTATCTGTTGCTAGACTATGATCAATGATCTTTAGGCTAAACAAATAGTCCAAATCCTACTAGAATGGATCATATGAGGTCACACACAAGGGTATTGGGTTAAGCAAGTTAAAGGCCTATTAATGGGCCTCATGAGCAATTAACTAATCATGAAATGGATTGGGCTAGAATAGTTAGATTGGAATTAGGTTTTGGGCTTTTAACATGGGCTCTTATTTAGAGATGAGATCTATAAATAAGATTCATGCCTAGGGTTGCTTGCAAGCAGTCATAATTCACACAGTGTATTTTGACATCAAGGCAACCAATCCCAAAAAACCCTAATTCCTCTCTCTAACTCACGGCTATCTCTCTCCTCCCCTCGTCCGTACGGACGGCCACCCTTGGTGGCGCTTGTGGTGGTTCATGGTGGTTCGTTGCTTGATCTTCTCCGTAGAAGGTCAATTGAAGGGTTCAATTACAACTAACTAGCATTAGTAGAGGTCTTAATCTATGCCCGTGGACCAAGTAGAGGAATCACGCTTGAGGTTCTTTATCTCCCATTGTTCTTGCTCGATCGCACGTGGAATCACGCTTCAAAGGTACAATTATATGTTCTTTATGTGTTATGAATTAGATCTTGGGATTAGGTACTGTATGAATATGATGCATCCGCAATTAGTACCTATAAACTCCTATAAGATTTAGGGCTAATTTAGCACTTAATATCGTCATTACCCCTATATATAACATCACATGGAAACAACCACATTAATTAGCATAATAATAATTAAGGAAATTAAGAAAGGAATAAGGATAATACCTTGAGCTAGATGTAGCTATCTTTTGGATAACCTCTTTTCCTTATCAAGGATGAAAAGATGATCACTCCTTAATTAAAGTGAAATAAAAGAGACTAAGTGATTTTTTTTGGAATTTTGAGATATTAAAAGAAATTAGTGCAAAGTAAAGCTAATGAACTTTTTTAATTTTTGATTAAAGAAAATAAACTTGAAAAATAAAACTAAATCTTGAAAAACAAACCTTTTTTTTTGGGTTCTAATATAGACTAAGAATACTTTAGCAATTGAACTAATTTTTTTTTAACAAGGATAAAAATAACAATAATACTTGAACTTAAAATATTTTTGTGTTTTTTTAGGAATCAAAGATAATAACAATACTTAAATAAAAAAAATAACAACTTAATTATATGATTCTTTTTATAAGCTAATAACTTAAAAAATAAATCCAAATTAGAGAGATTTTAACTAAAGCAAAAGATTAGAGGAGAATTTTCTAGAGAAAATTTTTAGAGAGAAAATTAGTAGGAAATTTTTGGTGTCTTAAAATGATAAAATTAGGGGGATATTTATAGGAAAATAAAGGGGTTAATCTGTGTGGCACCTGGTTTTTAACGAACAAAAATTAGTCTATAAAGGTTCCACCTAAGTGTAAGACCTATAATTAAAAACTTAAAGTCGCCACCTTATTTTATCCGAATAAGGACGGATTTTAATACAATCAATTTTAAGAAATGAAACTAAAAAAATATTAACTGCTAACTCCATAAAAAGAAACAAGGCACATGGTTCGGGGTTTAGGTTAAGAGAATCAAACGTTTGGAACTCGTCTTCCCTTCCGTTCTAAGGAACGTGCTCTTACTATTGCGTTGTTAAAAGTCAAGTTTTAAGACATGTTAATCACATAAAATGACATAATAATTAATATAAGGTAGGTTTGAGCACCAAAGTTGCACTACGTACCGATCATAGTGAGATTTTGAATTCACTCACGGATCAAAACCTTTGTAGTTCGGACATATGCCATGTTTTAAGTAACCAATTCCATAGGGTTTTAATTAGGGTAGCTAACATAAACGTCATTTTTGTAAGTGGGATTTTAGTGATCTTTGACGGATTCACTCATAAAAGTAAAATGAACCGCCTTGGTTGAGGAAAATTACCCTGATTAGTGATCACCAAAAATGTCTTTTGAACAAGACAATTCAACAAATGCGTCCCAATTGACGACTTTTTAGTGGGTCCAGGTATTTTTTAGAGTGAAACTGTAAGGGCTCACTGTGTAATCTCACTTTGGGTTTAAAAACACTCAAGGGTAATTTTTGTAAGGTTTTAAGGGTTATGTGTTTAGGCTTAATGGAATTTACCAAGTAAAACACGACACTTGTCAAGGGCTTACTTCCAAATAAAAGGGATCAATAAACTGTTTAATCATATCCGATTGTCAATTAATCCATCGAATAATTATAATGGGATATAAACTTATTTTATGGAGATGGATAATTGTTACAACCTTACACGACTAAATAATTAATCTTAACCTCATGTTTGGAATTGAGGCCATAAACTCATATTAACTATCATTAATTATTAAAAAAATAACAAGCAAAGTTATGATTCATTCTTGTGTTACAAAAGGGTTTGAAATAAGAAGGTTCACAAAATTGTAAAAGCTTTCTAAAATTGTCTCAAAGTAAAGAAAATAAAGTTTGTTAAAACTTTCATTTCTAAAGTCATCTTAAAATAAAATTAAAGTCCTTAAGGCATCATTTATTTCAAAAGTCATCTTTAAAATAAAATTAAAGATTTTAAAACATCTTTTAGAATTAAAGTTTGTTAAAAAATTCTTATTTCTAAAGTCATCTTTAAAATAAAATAAAGCTTGTTAAAACTCTTATTTCTAAAGTCATCTCTAGCTAAATAAAATTAAAGTTACTTAAAACTCTTAACAATTAAAATTCCATAAATGAAAATTACATAATATAGTCTAGTATAGGTTCCATGAACCATTAGTTTCTTAAAAATAAATTAGTACAACTTTAAAAAGCAATTAAGAGGAAAGAAACATGCCTTTTTCTTCTTTTTGATAGCTTGAACTAAAAAAATAATAGAAAAATCAAAAAAATTATTAAGAGGTGCGGTGGGAAACTCTTGAAAAATTCTATCACTTGAGCTAAAGAAGTGAAACTAATTCTAGACGTAAGGGTTCTTTCATAGGCCATCTTTGGGACGTAGTAAGTTACTCTTTACTCTTGAACATCCTTTACATAAACTCTTAATTCCTTATGTCTTTAAGCTCACTTTAAGAAGGAAATTATTCTTAAAAATATGTCTTAGACAAACATATGAATGTATTAACCTTTCATATTTTAAATGCATTAGAAAGAGATGCAATGCAAAATGCAATTAACCCCCCCCCTTTATAACCTATCACCTTATTAATAGGTTTGGCTTTCTAATGTGGAGTAATGAAAGATTTAGGGCTAGTTTAGCACCGAATATCATCATTACTGTTTAGGGTAAAAATACCCTAGACAGGTGGACCAATGAGAGGAGGCCACGTGGCGAGCTCAGGATGGCCCAAGTGACCCAATATCCTCTTGACACGTGGCCCCCTCAGATAATCCTTTGAAATGGCGGCCTTTAAGGGCCCAAATCCCTAGAAGCACCGTAAAAATGGCGCAGCCCACTAAAATCTAGGTTAAATGAGCTAGATAGGGGCACATTCTCCAACGACCCTATAAATAGGGAGATATTTCCCCATTTGAGGGACACATTCAATCATTTATTACACCTACTTTCTCTCTCATCAAAGAATCACCTGAGCTTGGAATCCAAGCAGATCGCCACCTAAATTTCCGTACTCTTCATTCTCTTTCAAGTTACTAACTTGATCATATCGTTGGAGGCCGAGCTCCACCATCCTAAGTCTCCGTTGTTTTTGCAGGTACAGTTTAGCAGGACCAGTCTTTGTGACGTAACTCTCCCGAGGGACAAAAACACCCAAAAAAATTACCCCTATTGATAACATCACATGGAAACAAACACATTAGTTAGCATAATAATAATAATAATAATAATAATAATAATAATAATAATAATAATAATAATAATAATAATAATAACAATAATAATAATAATAATAATAATAATAATAATTAAGGAAATTAAGAATGGGATAAAGATAATACCTTGAGCTAGATGTAGCATTTTTTAGATAACCCTTCTTTCTTATCAAAGATTTAAAAGATGATAACTAAGTGATTTTTTTTTTTTTTTTTTTTGGAATTTGAGATATTCAAAGAAATTAGAACAAAATAAAGCTAATGAACCTTTTTTTTTATTATAGAAAATAAACTTGAAAAATAAAATTAAATCTAGAAACCCCCCCCCCCCTTTTGTAGTTTTAATATAGAATAGGAATACTTAAACAATTAATCTAATTTTTTTACAAAGATGAAAATAACAACAATACTTGAACTTGAAATATTTTTTTGTGTTTTTTTTTATAAGAATTAAAGATAATAACAATACTTAAATAAAATAAAAATAAAAACTTAATTATATGATGATTTTTATAAGCTAATATCTTAAAAATAAAGCTAAATTAGAGAGATTTTAACTAAAGCAAAAGATTAGAGGAGAATTTTTTAGAGAGAAAATTAGTAGGAAATTTTTTGGTGTCCTCAAATGAGAAAATTAGGGGGTATT